ACTAATAGTGTCATAGATATGCTGAAATGTGAGTTTCTTCTATACGTTCTTTAGTCAAACAGTTATTGTACTATTTTTGGAGTTCGTGATAATCTGAATTTGCTCAATAACAATTAAAAACAAGATAGGTTGTGTTCTATCTATAAGCGTAAACTGAGTAGCTGCTCGATGGTCAGGTTGGTAGTGTGATTGTGTTCTACCCATGGGTTTCCGGATTCGATCCTCTGTTGGGTCGATCGATTCGAAGTGCTAATGAAACTAAACCAGATCCAAACGGATTTTCAGTGCTTCCTAGCTCTACAGTTTACGTTTCCTTTGCTCTATTCACGACGAAATTCATCATGTAAAGAAAAATCTGAAGCACACACGGAGTGCAATTATATGCACTGAGCGTTTACTCTGTATGCTATTTATTATTCCCAAATACAGTAAACTAACCTCAAGTCAACGAACCGCCATTAAGAAAGATAACTTTAAAAAGTGGAAAAATTGGTGGCATAGCGCACAATAAACGCGAAACGCTACTAACTACTGAGGTTTTCAAACAATAACAATAACGATAATATTACTACTACTGCTGCTGATAATAATCAGTAGATTCAAATAAGTCCAGGCAACAGAAACTGGAGGGAGATTATGTTTCACAAATCTTATGTGACATTTGCCAAACGCTAAACTTGATGATACTGGTTTAGTTTCTGACCAGTTTACTACCGATTTCTGGGTTTTTGGTTGTAATCATTGATTTGTTTCTTGTACAGATTTAAAAGCAAAATGATTTATATATGGCAGCATTTAGTCGATGTACTGTCGCATCATTTCACCTTAATAATTTAAATCGCGATATTATTTCCATTTTAGATTTGAATATACCATTTCAGAACTATCTCCGCGAATTGTCCTGCAATTCTTGGGATGATGAAACCAGTTCTGATGGAATACAAACGTCTCCCACCAACGGAACTCCTAGTGCACCTACAGACGACGCGAATACTATTACCAATATGGATTTGGGAAGTGAGTTTGGATTTCAGCATCCATCGGCAGACGCTAGTGATGAGGTGACGGGTGGGGGAACAAACGTTTCAAACGATGTGCCATCATCAACAACCCAGGGCATGCAACAACGATCGGAGATCGGACGTTTTCATGCTCCATCCATTACTCCAGGATTGTGGCCCATAGAGTACTGTCGGTCGATGGCCGGCATCATTGAACGAATGTCAGTGGACGGTAAGCCAGTTGGTTGTGAGGCAAATATTTTACTATTTATTGCCAAGTATTACACGAACAACTCTTCTTCCTTTGATGGTCACTCTCTTCATTTGTAGGTGCTGATTGGAGTAAATGTGAGCTAATTCAGGCCTATTATCAGCCAGCAATTGTGTAAGTCCTCAGTTTTATCGATTAACTTACCTTTAACGAATATATAATTGATCGAAGGCTGCACAGCTCTTGAATAACGAAGATATCATTTCAGCGGGCAGGGTTTGAAACTCAGTAAATTGATAATTCGCATTTAACTCACAGTTGCCTACTAGTAGTATTGTGAGATAATAGTTACTGATTCACTGGAACAGACCATCCTCCAGACTTCACCTTCACGAACATTCCTCGATTCTTCCAGTCAACCATACATTTAGAAGCACTAGAATTAACTTTCGTTCTTATTAGAGCTCATCAGTAGGGCATATCCACCGTCAGGGATTTAAACTCCGGACCCATAGCGTAGAAGGCGTGTTACCACCGTGCCAACCAGCTCATGCCAGGGCTGAACCGAATTGCGAATTTATGTTTGTTCAGGTGACAACCTCAGAGATAATTAGTCAGTGCGATTGGGCCCGACAAAAACGAAACGAGAAACAGCTGACCATCTGTTAACTGCATTCAAGAGCCTATCACTGGAAAAACTTAGCAATGTGTGTGCAGTTGAAGTCTAAAGGATGATCAGTTCCAATCAATCAACTTAAAAATTGATTGAGAAAACCGCGAAAATACATTTTCTAAAAAATCTTGTGACAATAACTATATGTTTTTGGCTGGTGCAAAATAATGAACTGACTCATTCTGTTGAATGCTTGATAAAATATGCGCACTGCGTTTCATTTGAGCGTATTTCATTTGTACTAACTGCAAGTTTGCCAGGTTTCAATAAGCCCATCAATGACAGTGCTTCGATTGAAGTTTTCAACCCTAGATGATATTCACGATGTTTCTATAATCCTGGTTGATAAAACGCTCGTTCTACTTGCCCAATCTATCCCGTTATGTTTTTACTTTATCGTTCTACCCTTTGGCCATATATTCAACATATTTAGACGAAAAACCGATCCAATACAGAACGACCTTGTGGTTCGAGCCCGTGGGCTACCGTGGCAAGCGACCGACCTCGATATCTTTCGATTTTTCAGCGGCATCAATATATCACAGGGCGGAATATCATTAGTTTTAAGCAAAATTGGACGACGTAACGGTGAAGCTCTGATTCGATTTACTGACCGGGAGCAACGAGATTTGGCACTTCGAAAGCATAAGCACCACATGGGACAGAGATATATTGAGGTTTACGCGGCCCAAGGATCAGATTTCATTGCTTTTGCCGGGGGTAAGTACCGTGAATTTCATTGAATCGCACACAGATTGATTGTTGTCCTTCGAAATTTGTGATCATTTACATGTGAAATTTTTTTAATGGAACTTTAGTAGCATTTTAGTTTAGCCAATCATGAAACCAGACTTTTGTGCTTACTCGTTTACTCATATGACTGATAAAAACAGCTTAGCGGTTTCACCGAGCCCCACAAAACGATCTCACATTCGAGTTATCTGATTTTGTCAATAGCGTTGAAGTGACTACAATTCTTCCCAAAAAGTGACTTAACCTTTGTTTTACGAATTAGGTAGGATATATACATATGTATATATATAGAGAATACATCAAGCTGCCAGGTGGTTATTGTGACGTTTCAATCACAAGTGGGACTTGCTTTCACTGATGCGTGCTGAACGATGGACCGAGTAAACACCGTGCAGTTGTTTGTCTAAGAATGCCTACCGAGTCATTTCTTGACTATTTTGTATAAAATAGCTTCACAGTGACCCAACCAAATAATACACCTACAATATATATTATATTTATTATTTGGTTTACTACATCATCTCCAATTTTTAATTATTTGTTCTCATAACTTGGCTGTAGATGATCGTGACTGTGAGGCATATTCCAGTTGAAGTTACCTGCACAAATAATAATAATAATAATAATAATAATAATAATAATAATGTGACAAGATTGCTAATCGAGCATACAATCCTAGCACGATTGTCACCCACTGACTAATACGGTAAGTGATGTAAGCACACAAATATTATAAATTTATCATTATTCTTCTTTGTGGAATTGCATCAAATTCAGCCTTCAATGAATCGGGCTTCACTTATTTTAACTAGTTTATACGTTTTATCTGTATTGTGATGTTTGAAGGAGAAACCGAAGAGGCTGAACAATTTCTACGCAAGTTCACTAGTCCATATCAAGCGTTGATTCGCATGCGTGGTCTGCCATACACCGCCACAACAGATCAAATTGTAAGTAGCTACTCATATTTTTCTCACAGATTATTGATTTGATTTCATTGCTACTGTTTTCATAATAATGAATTCATGCAACGCGTAAATTTTCAATCAAGGCAAAAGATGATATGCAAGAATAATCTCGTTGTACATGTTCCTGCCAAGGACTGCCATTATTTATCATGTAATAATTTCAAAAACTGAAATTTATCTTTATCCTTCTTATGGGACAGAAGTTTAATTATTATCATTATTTTCTTCTAGTAATTTGCCCAAATTGAGGGTAATTTTTGCTCTGAAAGCAAAATTATCCAGTTCATTTGGTATTATTTTTCCGAGTAGGCACGTTAATTCGATTTCAAGGGGTACGGAACCAGATGACGTAATGTTGAGCTTAATCATACAGTTAATGTACACAGATGCAAGCATTACATCGGAACCACAAAGTGAATGAATACAAAAAGCCTGCTCTAGAGCTTAATCGGATAGATCAATACCTTTCTTTATCTGCTCACATTCGATCGATACGGGGTCACCTGTTTCAGCTGTGAACACTTTTTGTGAACCCATTGAATCGATTTCCCAAAAATCACACGGACAAACATGTGTATTCCTTGTCAGTTCCTGCTAGAACGAGACGATTCGAGAATAATAACCTAACCGGGTGCGTTCATTCACGTTTCACTGAGTCATCGAGGTACTTTGGGTGTGGTGTGCTTCAACGCCAGATAGACACTAAGCTATTGCACAAATCTTCTGTTCATAGTGTAAACACCTATTCATTCTATCAACAGTTGTTCAGATTAAAAAGAATATCTAAGAAATCCACAAGTTGTCTATAACTAGTCCTCCACCGGTCCACTTAAGTGTTATTAAAAACTGATAAATGCCCTCTTTTGCCAAGGTCAGCTAGGGGAAAATGTTTGAGCATCACTGAATGCAATCCGATTGAGTGTCTGGAAGCACAATTTGTTTGGATTTGCGTAGTGCGGCCTAAATAAATAGATACTATTTTCTTTTCAGCGGATGTGATGTGAAGTTAATGAACATTCTCCGAAACCACCTAATTCTTCTTATGAAACACAGGTCAATTAAAATGATCTTAGCTACCCTACTGAGTAAGACAGCAAAATATGGAAGGCGGTTTTAAGTCAAATAACAGGAATATTGTCGACTATATCCGCTCTTAAAACCAAAAGTGTCATGTGAATGAGCAGAGTGGCTTTTGATAATCTAACATTGATATATGAGACGGAATTAAACCAAAGCCAGAATGACCTAGGAGATGGGAAAATCGGACATTTAAATTATTCATACCTTTCGCAAACTGACCCGCATATTTCGAACCATGTTTAGTGAATAACATCTCTGAAAAATCAGTNTTTACTCTTCAAAATAATTTCAAGAATTCAAGTAAAAAATGAGTCTACGGGTGTGATAGCTGTTAAGATTGTTTTGGGTGTTTTCGCTCAAAACCCTCACGTCCATAAAGATAAATGATATCTTCAGATGGTAACGGTGCGGTAGTGTTGAGGAGTCAAGTGTAACTGTTTTTTTGGTACACCCATTGATAAACCAGTAACCGCTAGACTTATTCAATGAAAATGGTTCAGTTTACATCCAGGTTATTGTACTGACTGAACAAACTTCAGTTCCATGCCTATTTGGGCTTCAAGAAAGCAATACCTAGTTCGATCAGTGGATATTTGAGTTTTTAGTTTACCTACTGAGACCCATCTTTTTTTTACTCTATCAACCACAAATGAGTTTTGCTCCTTAGAGAGTTCCTCAGTAGTGCATATACAATGACCCCGGCCATGATTTGGACTCCTAGTTCCTCCCACGAGCGGCGCATGCGTTGCCAATGTACGGTCTAACTCACATCTAGGCTGACTGGAACTACCAACTCGAGTGTGTTCAATTGTCGTCCTCCCTGGTGGTCTGTGAGCTCTTTCACCCCTTTAATAACATTGTTTTGACATCTCACATTAAGATTCGTTTGATCAGTTGAAGATTTACATCTAAAATGCTTCACTCCAAGGACAATTGGTCCTTCACTTACCAGAGGGAGAGAACTGCAGTGAAAAAAGCGGGATGCGAAGTTCAGCATTTGTGTTCATGCCTTGCCTGGAATCTACCATGAAATGGTTCTTCATACTTGGCCTCACCATTAACAGTTTTCTCGAAGTGTGCGAGTGAAGTGATCAGAGTGCTGCAAAGAGAGAATTCTGAATATATGTAAGGCGAAACAATTCATCTTTAGGTTAGCTCACTGAACACAGTACCACATCTCTACTGTATGTGTAGCAAACACGTTTCTTTGTCCGGCGTGGTGATATAATGTCAGGAATCAGAATAAATTTGTTTGATACAATAATTGAGAAAGTATGCTATCAGAATACTGACCGAATAACGCATAGTTAAATCACGCAAATGTTGCAATGCCAGAACATTTTATGAAGTCACCATATTTACCATTCGTGGTGCGGAAGACCAAAGTACCTGAGCACACCCCTCAAAAACGATTGTTGGCCGACCACGATGTAGCTAGCAAAGATTCTACTTCTCAACCAATTGGATTTCTATGTTGACGATAGCTGAACTGTTACTGCAAAAATGTACAAAGATGCCCCATCAAATTTTCCGAACTCAATGTTTCCAGTATGACCAGTGGGTAGAGACATCCTTGGTGCGATCGTTCTGCTCGTGGCAATGGTGTTTTACTTTAAGTTTGAGATGATCAACTCTTGACAATCCAGCGTAAGTTAGACTGCATAAGTGTGATTAGTGTTTGATTGGTGTAGTCTATCCTTCCAATCGTCCTTGGAGACAGGCAACAGATCCGCTAACATTATTGACTAAGACGCAAAGTCGCTCGAAGAAATTGACATCTCTGAGGGATCTATCCTGGCTAGATTATAAATGTCTCCGAACGCTGTAACTTGAAATAATTATGGAATACTGAAGAACCACTGCACTAGGTTGATTTGTGAGAATAAGCTGTCTTACCATGAGGCGCTAGCACAGAAAATCATTTATAACCCCAAGGTATTGCATAAGCACGTTAAATCAATTTGGAAAGTTAAATCTGGCATACCGACACTAATCTGCCCCGGGAGAGTTGCAGCCGCTACAACAAAGACACCTGAAATGTGAAAACTCAGTATTTTAAAGATTTTGCTGCATGGCAGCTCCATTGCCCTTTGCTGATCTTCCATATCCTTCGCTGACCAACATAACATTTACTACTGAAAGCGCCAAAGCCAAACTAATGGCTTTGCGAAAAATGTAACCCTGTGTGAGGACAATATGCACTCGAAATCCATTATCTAATTTAAAAAATAGCGTATTCGAAACACTAGACATTCTCTTCCAACGGATGTTCGACCAAATAGCACTCCCGCAATCGTGGAAACAAGAAGTTATTTCATCCATATACAAAGGTGGTCGTCGCTGTGACCCCGCTAAATACCGACCTGTAACCCTGCTTCCAGTGTTATCGAACGTTCTGTGGTCAATTATGGCAGTTTCACTGATCGGACACTGGGAAAGATAAAACATTATTTGACCAAATTAGTTCAAGCAAAACAATACCGTCGCGCCAACTTGCTTCTTGTTTGAGAGGAATGAANACAGCCAATGAATAACATGCGGTCGATGTGATTTATCTGAACTTCTCGAAAACATTTGATTGGGGAAACCATCAAGTTTTGTGGCATTCGAGTGGTATTCGAGGTTTCTTGCTTGATTTGAATTAGAGCATTTTTCCGGCAACGGACCACATCAGTTCGCGTTTCTGATTCCATATCCGGTTCTATGAGCGTTACTCGTTGTTCCATAAAGAACTGCATTTCGTTCCCAACTTTTCCTTGCATTCATAAATGATCTACCGAATCGGCTAGGGCCAAAAATAATACTTTTGCAGCCGACGGCAAAATCTTGAATAGAGTAACAGAACCCGAGGACTCGCCATCGAATCAGGAAACATCCTATCGATAGTCTACGGAGAACGACATTGAATTCAATATTTCTAAATACAAAATTTTATTTCTACTCCACAGAACTATATATTTAATATTTCCTCCGAAATCAACAGCCGCCACATACATCAAGGATTTTGTTATAATTGTTCAAGAAGACTTATGCTGCACAATCCATTGCGCCAGGGCTTCGTCCGCTGCTGTGAAGAATGTAGGTTGGCTTAGGCGCACCTTTGGTCGATTTGAATCAGCACTATTCTTGCCACCAGTGTAAATGCCACCGTATGCCGAGTGCGCCATCCAGGCTTAGAGCCCATGGTCGCAACGTGATCGTAAGATGCTGGAGCGTCCAATAAGGATTGCCACCAAGGTAGTCAAGGAAATGCACTGCCTCACCTACGAGGAGAGACGGTACCCCTGAATTCGAGGAGACTTGATTTTGGTGTATCAAAGTTTAGAAAAACCAAACCATTCATGTCGTCCGCTTCTCATGCTGTCGCTTAACGTACACTTCAGAAGACATCGTTCCAAGTTGGTGGCCCCAAGTTGTCCATTGGAATGCCGGCATCATCAATGCGCTTAGAGTGCGCATTACTTGGAATGTCTTTTCATCGTACGTCGATTGTGCGCCCATTGTTGAATCTTTCAAGCGAAGACTTGATGGAACCCTGGTACATCTCACATCCCTACACAACTGAAGACGCAAGTTGTTGAAAACTACATTATGTATTATCTCTCACTTAAGCTTAAGCTCCTCCCTAACAGGAACTATATGTGGTATTTATCATTTTTGTCGAGAAACGATCTAATTGCGTAGATATTTTATATGGGCAAGAGAAGCATGAGCATATAAGTAATTCCCAAAGAAAAGTTTTGATTTTGACTTTGGAATAGAGTTGCCAAGGCAAAATTTGGGAGTAAAACCAAATTAAACTACGTTAAACATTATTGAATGTGGTTTTGTGAGAACGTCCTTGATACACTACGTAATATGAGGGAAACCTTACTTGTGGCTCATGATATCTTTAAAGTAAA